TATCTACATCATGGAGCAGGATGTCCGGCCCTGAGGAGCGCCGCCGTCTATCTTCTCCGCCTCCAGGATTATCCTCTTGAACACCTCCACGGCCGTCTGCGAACACACACACACACTCTCACACACACACACACACACACACAAGCACATGCACACAAGCACACGCATGCACACACAAACACACGTGCACACACAAACAAGCACGCATGCAAACACACGCACGCACACACACACACGTATGCAAACACACGCACACACATGCACACGCACACACACACACTCACACACATGCACACGCACGCAAACAGACGCACACACATGCACACACACACTCACACAAACGCACACACACACACTCACACAAACACACTCACACGCAAGCACACGCAAGCACACACACACACAAGCACACACACAAGCACACACACACACACACAAGCACACACACACAAAAGCACACACACACACAAGCAAAAATTCTTTCTTTAATTTTTTTTTTAATTAAACATTTCTAATTTTTATTTAGTTTTACTTGATGTTCTAAAATAATTAAAACAAACATTAATAAAAGCTATATAAACAGTAAAAAAAAAAATTTAAATACAAAAACATAAAAATTACTAAAACTTTAAAAGCAGAACATATAAAAATAAAGTCTAAATTAAATACAAAAAAACTATAATACTATCCCAAAAAAATGAAAACGTATTTTATTTCAGCTAGTCGCCAGCAAAATAAATCTCATTTACATTTAGTTTCACTTAATGTACTATAATAACTAAAACTGAAATTAAATAAATGAAAACTATAGACATTAATAAAACTAACAAAAATGTTAAAAACACAAAACAAAATGACTAAAACTAACTCAAATTTAAAAAAATTTTTTTTATTAAAATATTAAAAGTAAAAACTAATTAAAAATATAAATACAAACGATAATAGTATCTCAGTGATACTAAAATAACACAGTCTCTACCCAATCATTTATTTTTTTATTTTTTTATTACAAATGCAATGAAAACACAGGCATCTGTATCAGCACGTACCAAAAATGAAAGTTTAGGTATTGTATTCATTCTGGGAAAAAGTGGTATTGAACATCCCTAATAATAATAATAATAATAATAATTATAATAATAAATAAATAAATGAAGTGAGTGTAAATCACACAGTAGGCTTCAGCAGAGAATAAAGCAGCTCTTGAGACGTGAGGCTGGACGTCAGCTGATTCAGTTCACAAATACACCATCGCAGAATCATCAGAGCATCGATCAGTGTCTGCTGAGAGCCAGACCGAACACACTACAGGAAGAGGAAGAGGAAGAGGAAGAGGAGAGACAGGAAGCGCATCATCACCTGATTCTCTTTGGCGGAGGACTCCATGAACGCTGCGTTCCACGATTCTGCCAAAGCTTTGCCCTCTTCACAGCTGATCACGCTGAGAGAAACACACAGAACCAGTCTACGCCAATAGAACTTCAGCAATCAAATAAAGACACCAGTGGAGCGAACGCAGATATTAATGCACAGACAAACACAACATACTGCATCAAAAACATCTGTTTAATCAGAGCTCTGGTGGGTTTGTTTTTTTAACGTTTTTATTTATAAAAGTTTTCAATTGTATTTTAATTGTAGTTTTTTACATTTCTGTTATGTGCATTTTTCATTTTTATTAATTTGTTTATTAATATAATAATTATATTATTATTCAGGTTATATTTATTTTTATTGGCAATTTTTATGGTTTCATAAAAATTATGGTTATTAATATTAGCATATATATATATATATATATATATTTAGTTTTCACTTTAATTTTAGTTTAATTTTTAGTTTATGTGCTTTTGTTCTTATATTACTATTGAGGTTTCATTTATTTTTATTTCAGATTTAGTTTTTTAGTATGGACAAGTAAGATCTCAATCCTGACGGACATACACCTGCTCTCCTCTCATCTGTGTGTGTGTGTGTGTGTGTGTGTGTGAGAGAGAGTGAGTGTGAGTGTGTGTGTGTGTGTGTGTGAGAGAGTGTGAGTGTGAGAGAGTGTGTGAGAGTGTGTGAGAGTGAGAGTGTGAGTGTGAGAGAGTGTGAGAGAGTGTGTGAGAGTGACCCACGCTCTCTCTCTCTCTCTCTCTCTCTCTCTCTCTCTCTCTCTCTCTCTCTCTCGTTCCCACAGTCTGATCTGCAGGATCATGTGAACGTGTTGAAGAACCTCCATGAATTCATCATCAGAGCAGAACGTACCGTTCCATGTGAAGGTCTTTCTTATTGCCCACCAGCATTATGGGTACTCTAGGAAAAAAGACATTTATAACACAGAGACATTAACAGAGATTTTAATAACTGACCCCATTCATATTCTTAATACATGCGTCTGGTCTTATTATGAACAAGTCATCAGGATTACGCATTTCTTCTTATTAAACATCGCGTTTTCCTCAGAAATCATTACATTGTGGAAGTAAAAAAAACAACAAAAAAAACATTAAAGGGGTGGTTGATTGCGATTTCACTTTTTTAACGTTAGTCAGTGTGTAATGTTGCTGTTTGAGCATAAACAATATCTGCAAAGTTGCAGCGCTGAAAGTTCAATGCAAACGGAGATATCGTCTTTTAAAATTCTGGCGGTTTAATGCCAACAGAAACGGCTGGTAGGGACTACAACGAGCTACTTCCCGGGTTCGTGACATCACAAACCCTGATAAACCCCGCCCCCGGGAACACGCAGCAAAGGGGGCGGGGCCATGCTGCGCTGCTTTAGAGAAGAGGAAGAGAAAACTAGAGGTGCACGTAAAAATCTGTTCATATATGAATCGTGATTCTGTCTTCTAACGATTCTAATGGATTCACACGTTTCAAAATCAATGTTCCGAAGCAGCGGTTCTCAATACTGTTCCTCGCGTCGCCTGCTCTGCACACACACTGCATCTCTCTCTCATTCAGATCGTCAGCTCAGCTCCAACAAACTGTTCCATTTATACACTTATTTTCACATAGCTATGAGAAGTGTTATACATGGACATGCGTGCGGTTGCTGTGCTGTATTAAAGCTCTAATCAGAATAAAGCCATATATTAAAAGCTAACAGAAGCAGTAGCATTTACAAACAACAGCATATCTAAAAGTATGAGACAACAACAAACAAACATACCATTAAGAGCCGTGCTTGCACAGGTTCTGCGCGATCCTCTTCATTAATATTCTCTGCGTCTCAATCGGGCTCAGATTGATAAGCAATATAGACAACGTCATTGTTTACAATACAACGGGAACACATTCTGAGCTTGAGGGGCGGGATGTTCAGACGCGCGCTAGAGGCGGTTTAGCCAATCACAACACACTGAGCCAGCTGACCAATCTCAGCCCATCGCGTATTTCTGAGGGAGGGGCTTCATAAAAGCAGGAAATAATCGAGGCGTTTGTTAGAGAAGGGACAGAGCGGTGTGAAATAAAGGTAAATTATATGAAAAAGAATACGTTTTTTTAAAAACGAAGCATGAACACATGTTAGACCGCAATATATATATATATTAGTATAAAAAAAAAACACTTAGCAAACGTAAATAGAAAGAAAAAAATGTGTTTTGGAAAAAAAACTGTACCTTGCAAATGATAAACAAAAAATAAATAAATAATACATTTAAAAATAAAATAAACATACTTACTGTACTTTTCCCACCATATCCAACAGCTTTTCATGGATAACTTTTACTACTTCAAAACTGCAAGAAGAGGGAGAGACAGATCACAAACGGGAATTCTGAAAATGAGCAGATCATTTTAATCTAAGGTTATTTATAAAACAAGAATAAAAATATATAAAATAAACTAAAAAATGCCAATTATAAATCAAAGTAATAAATATTACTATTGCAATATTTACTGTAAAAAACCTGAGTATTTAAGCCAAAAAATATATAATAATAATATTATTATTCTACAACTGTAAAAATGACCATTACCGCGGTTAAAAACAAAAACAAAAATTAAACTTTTATTTCTTTATATTTAATGCTTCCCTAATGCTTCTCCTCACTCTGAAACATGCAGTGTTTTTACTCATTTAATTAATAATTAATCACACCAAGCCAGTTTATTTCGATTTTCCGTGCAGCTCTGCTTCAGATGGTTGTGAGATTTTATAACTGGTTAAAGAATGAAACACAAAGCAGAGCCTGACAATGTCATCATTTAATTAACATCAAACATCCAGGCATCCGGAGACGAAGACGAAGATGATGAAGAACAAACACGGATCGGGTCTGAGATCAGCGCTTACTATCCATCAAATATGATCTAATTTAATAACTCTGTGAAGGAGGAGAGATCTTCTAGAAATGAGACGTCATCTCTCAAATTCAATCAGATGCAATGCTTTATTCATAAACCATATTCTGACAGTCATCAGGAGCATTAATCTGTGCGCTCACCTTTTATTGGAGGTGACTGAATACACCAGAATGTAGCCGTTGATGTCTATAGAGTACGTCTGCGGGAAAATAGAGTATTCGTCCTGAAAGAGAGGAATTCAAAACACACTTCAGAGACAAAATCAAAACTTCATTCTAAGAATTCATGACATGATGCTTTTATAAGAATGTTTTGCCAACTGTGCTTTTTTTATTTTAGTATTATTTAGAAACTATTATATTTATTAGTATTTAGGGATGTAACGATTAACCGCGAGCCGGATGAAAACCGATTCAAATGTGTGACGATTCAAATCGGTTGAGATGCTAAACAAATCGCTATTCATTCAGTTTATATGAATGCATGTCTGAGGGGAACTTACTGTCTTTAGAAAAGTTTAGATAGTATTTTTCTTTTCATCTTGCTTCTGTATAATGCATATTAAAGTTCATAAGCGCAGCGCTGCTTTGTTTACAGCCAAAACCAAGGAAAGGCTTTAAGCGCCACCTGCTGGCAGAGAGTGCATCTGCGTCTCGTTCAGCTCGTCTGCTGTTTCTGTTTCATGCAGATATTTTTATTTATAGTTTCACAAAACTGAAGTCAAACCATTCTGTTTTTGCTTCAAATTTCGAAATGATACAATCTAATTTAGATTAAAAACTGCTCGTGTTGCATGTATGCAGCATCTTTGTTTGGATCGTGATTAAAATGCAGTGGTTGCCTCTAGTTTTAAATGGAAAGAGTTTGTTTATATGAAGAGATTTATTTTATTTGTGTTACTTATTTGATTTGGGGCTTGTTTTAAAATTTCAATTTAGTTTTGTTATTTACATTTACATTATATTTAAATTTTGTTAATAATTTATAATTTGTCTTAAATCTCATTTTGTAAAAAAAAAAATTGTGAATCGAATCGTGAGTTGAGCGAATCGTTACATCCCTACTAGTATTGTGAATTAGATTTTACATTTTCAGTTTTATTTTAGTAATTTTGTTATTTGCTTTTGTCATTTAAATTTTTTTTCTTGCTTTAAATTTATTCGTATTTCAGTTTTAGTAATTTATTTTTAGTTTTATTTCAGTTAAGTTTTTAGTTTTTTTTTAAGTTTAAGTCTGTCATTGAATATTTATATTTTATTTTGGCTTTATTTCAATGAATTAAAACCATTTTAATGCTTACATTTTTTTTATTTTAGTTAAAAACAACACCACTGCAGAAAGGTTTATGGCCTTTCGTGGATTCGTTTCTGCATTAAATGTGTTTGAGTCACTGGTGTTGGACTCCTGAATGTTTGATATTGCCGTGAAGTTAAAAAAAATAAAAAAAAACAACATTTAAAGGTGAAGTCGTGTTTCTCACCTGTCCCGCTGTGTCGACCAGCTGCAGGTGATACTCCTGACCGTTCACTGTGATCATTTTCGTAAATGCTGAAAAAATAAATAAAAGACACCAGATCAAAAATCTGAAAAATCTAAAAAATTGTGAAATATTATTACAGTGTAAAACAGCTGTTTTCTATGTGAATATCTGTTAAACTGTAATGTATTTCTGTGATGCGCAGCTGTATTTTTTAAGCGCCACCTGCTGGCAGAGAGTGCATCTGCGTCTCGTTCAGCTCGTCTGCTGTTTCTGTTTCATGCAGATATTTTTATTTATAGTTTCACAAAACTCAAACCATTCTGTTTTTGCTTCAAATTTCGAAATGATACAATCTAATTTAGATTAAAAACTGCTCATGTTGCATGTATGCAGCATCTTTGTTTGGATCGTGATTAAAATGCAGTGGTTGCCTCTAGTTTTAAAAGGAAAGAACACAGACAAAGCCTTAGTTTGTTTATATGAAGAGATTTATTTTATTTGTGTTACTTATTTGATTTGGGGCTTGTTTTAAAATTTCAATTTAGTTTTGTTATTTACATTTACATTATATTTAAATTTTGTTAATAATTTATAATTTGTCTTAAATCTCATTTTGTAAAAAAAAAAATTGTGAATCGAATCGTGAGTTGAGCGAATCGTTACATCCCTACTAGTATTGTGAATTAGATTTTACATTTTCAGTTTTATTTTAGTAATTTTGTTATTTGCTTTTGTCATTTAAATTTTTTTTCTTGCTTTAAATTTATTCGTATTTCAGTTTTAGTAATTTATTTTTAGTTTTATTTCAGTTAAGTTTTTAGTTTTTTTTTAAGTTTAAGTCTGTCATTGAATATTTATATTTTATTTTGGCTTTATTTCAATGAATTAAAACCATTTTAATGCTTACATTTTTTTTATTTTAGTTAAAAACAACACCACTGCAGAAAGGTTTATGGCCTTTCGTGGATTCGTTTCTGCATTAAATGTGTTTGAGTCACTGGTGTTGGACTCCTGAATGTTTGATATTGCCGTGAAGTTAAAAAAAATAAAAAAAAACAACATTTAAAGGTGAAGTCGTGTTTCTCACCTGTCCCGCTGTGTCGACCAGCTGCAGGTGATACTCCTGACCGTTCACTGTGATCATTTTCGTAAATGCTGAAAAAATAAATAAAAGACACCAGATCAAAAATCTGAAAAATCAAAAAAATTGTGAAATATTATTATAATGTAAAACAACTGTTTTCTATGTGAATCTCTGTTAATCTGTAATGTATTTCTGTGATGCGCAGCTGTATTTTCAGCATCATTCCTCCAGTCTTCAGTGTCACATGATCTTCAGAAATCAGTATAATATGCTGATTTGGGATTGAGTCTAACAGTGTGTTCACACCAGACGCGAATGTAATTATTCGCACGAGTAGATTACATACAAAGTCAACGCAAAGACGCGAATAGAGGCGAATTCATTATTGCATTATGCATTATTGCAGCCATCTGTTATTATATAGGTTTGCAGCATAGAAAACAATTAAAATCAGTTGTAGTGGTACTTGTATTTTATTAGCATGGCTACAGAGATGCTGCTATCAATAATAAAAATAATAGTAATATCAGTGTATATATACAGTAGTACAATGTAACGCACACTAATACAGGATCCTAACGTTATTCGGCATTTGGCTTTACAGCAGATACAAAACAGCGAGTGTAGTTTTCTCCACCACGGTTGATCGCGCTGTTTTTATTCGCGCGAGTGACACGAAAAACATCCCACGAGTAATCTAGAGCGAGTGACGCGATATGCATATTCGCTTCGCATCTGGTGTGAACACACCATAAGAGTTCATGATTATCGTCTGATGCAAATAGTGAAATAATGTCTCAATTCTGGATGTTATTAAATCATAAAAACGTCTCATAGTGAGTCTCTCTAAACATCCAACAAAAAAAAAAATTTCAGTGACAAATTTATCAACTTTTAATTTACTGCCGTCACACAAACACTGACATTTTTTTTCTAGATATTACAAACACTTAAAAAAACTGTTTTTGCAATTGAAACAATCAGGAGAGTTGATGTGTTTCAGGCACAGAACAGTGGAGGTGGAGTCATCGCCGTGGAAGCCACACCCACTCAAGTAGACTCCTCCCACTCGGCCTGTTCCACTGACTGATAGCTGCGTTATGACCCGCCCCTTTTAATGTTTAACTGCTCCTGCATTAACAACTCTTGTAGTACTTGTGAGGAAACATCACATAATCAACCTTAACTATATTAAATCCCAACATTTTCTACAACAAGTGGATATTCAACTTAAACTACATGTCAAGTTATAAATGAACAACTAGTCAGTAATTATTTAAATCTGAAGTGTTAGACATATTGAATCAGATTTGCCCGAATGACTCGCAGTTCAGTGAGTCAGATGCAGAGTAACCGAACGATTCAGTGAGTCACAATCACAGAACTGACTCATAAGAGTCATTTGCATACAAATTGGAGTGTAGTAGTCACAAGGCCAGTAGAAATGCATATTAAGGTCATTTTATCACTTCACAGAGCAAATTTCAATTCTCAAGCCTACATTATGATGATTATGATTCATCTTGCAGTAGGATGTGATCTGATTCACTTACTGTTTTCAATCGTGGGGTCGTAGGAGTCGACAAACTGGCCTTCCACAAACTGTATTGTCAAGGAGGATTTCCCTGAAACACACAAACGTCGCACAGTCGGAGAGAATGACCATCTTTACCTTCAGATCACCAGAGAATGAACATGAACTCATGAACACGCATGTTACATTAGTGCAGAAGAGATTTACACAGCGATGCATCAATCTAAATCATAACCCCAAATGAAGCTAGTCTCACAAACAAATGTCTGAACACATCAAGAAACTGTCATGTAGCCAAACATAAGCTTCATTTTTAATGCACAATATGATTTCTCTGGTTTGGATCTCAGCGTGTGAATGCATGTGATGAAACACGTCTCCATTCAGAAGAGCGTTTGTGATGAAGCTGCCGATAGTGGTAGTAACGCAGGACATTCTCACACACACACACACACACACACACACACACACGAGTGTGTGGGCAGATTTGCCCTGCAGCCTGTTGCTATAACAACGGCCAGTTCATCTCCGCATCCAGCGTTTGTAAATGCGAGCTCTCATTGACAGAGAAAAGCACACAGAAACATCGGCACGCTCAAAAAACAACTAAATCCATCACAAATGAACTGGACTGTGAAAACTAAAGTCCTTTTTATTCACGTGCGGCCACTGCTTGACTTTTTATATGGCTGCAAAAATTTCTATTTTGTTAGTTACATTTAATTTAGGAATAAAATGTAACAACTGTACCATCTCATCAGCTCAAACGATACATTCAAATATAAACACTCACATTCAAAAGTAACAAACTGACAAGAAAGCTGACTGTCTCTTTAAAACGTAAGGCAGGGCTAGTCACATATTGGGTCTTATGATTTCTCCTACTGATATAGTTATGATATTTATGATAGCTATATCAGCTTCACATGTTATCACAGGACAAATATCGAGTAAACGATCACAATTCGATTCCAAAAGGATTCTTGGACTACATTTTCTTTTTATTAATTAATGAGTTTAGCGACTTTGAACAAAGTCTATAGAAATACAAAGACGGTTCACTCCTACACTTATGACAACTGTGTGTTAAGAATTATAACCAACTAAATATAGCGTCAAAACATATCAATATAAAGCAATAATAGGGAACAAAGAAGCATTACGATCAATAAACAGAATATGCTTTCAGTATGTGAAAGTTTCCAGACGAGCGCAGTGATAAATCTGTCTTTTTTTCCCTGAGCATTACTGCTGACTGGTTATTATCATTTAACAAACAATAAATACAAACATTTTACAAAGTTAAACTTAGAAAAGGGATTCATTTTTTCATATAGAACCCTATACACGATTTATTAAATGCACTTGTTGTGATAAAACATTCTTTTAAATCCATCTTACAAAAAAGGACATATAAAGTTCTAAAAAATTGTATAATTCTATGAAAATGTCCACATTACAACTATAATGACGACAACACATAGCATTGGAATACTTCCAAACTACTTATTTCTAGCTGATGAAAACACTGACAGCCAATCAGAATCCACCCGACTTTAACGAGCTTGTGTATTTAGAGAGGCAGACAACAAAACTGCAGTGCTATCGTGGACGCTAATATTATTACCATTCTGGTTCTTGGTGTAAACGGGCCTTCAAAGTTTGTCTTAATAAAAGTCAACTTTAAAAAAAATAATAATAATATAAATAAATTATACTGAACCTTGAAAATGTGCTGTACTTTTTTTAATTAAATAAATATTAATATTAAATATTATATAAATTTTTATATTAATTATACCTTGATCATGTTAGTTCATAGTGCAACTACTGTTAAAAGAAACAACTTTAACATTTAAAAATGTATTGATAAATGTTCAAACTAACAATGAACAATACTTCTACAGCATTTCATAATTTCAGTTAATGTTAGATTAACCATTTAATATAAATACAAACAAGATAGCTTTTAAAGATGTCAAAAACTTTAGGAGGGCTCAGAGATTTGGCCTCTAGAGGTCGCGCTCGTAAACTATCGTCTGTTCAATCAGTTATCGGTACCGATATATCGGCAAAACCGATCAGTCGGTCGACCTCTAATATTTACAGTTGGATCGTCTCTCATAACGTCTCTGGAAGACAGAGAGAAGAGGATGAAAGGTTAATGATTAATGACGTCAACCAAAAGAAAACCATTTAAGAAATGAAGCAAGCTGAAGACAATGACAAAAATGAACATTTATTTCCATTAGAACAGCGTGACTGATGAATCCCTCACAGTCAGATCAGGAATATGAATTAAGAGTCTATAAAAGGCATTGCTACTGTAGGTCAGGTTTGAGTTGTTCACTACAAGCGTTTCTCAATCGTAAAGCCATTAGAGAGCAGCAGCAGCCCTGCCTTCCCTCCGTTTTAATGGAAGCGCATCGGATTTCAAGCATCCTTCCTCATCAGCTCTATAAATAGAACGTGAAACAGAGCCTTCAAAGTTTGTCTTAATAAAAGTCAACTTTAAAAAAAATAATAATAATATAAATAAATTATACTGAACCTTGAAAATGTGCTGTACTTTTTTTAATTAAATAAATATTAATATTAAATATTATATAAATTTTTATATTAATTATACCTTGATCATGTTAGTTCATAGTGCAACTACTGTTAAAAGAAACAACTTTAACATTTAAAAATGTATTGATAAATGTTCAAACTAACAATGAACAATACTTCTACAGCATTTCATAATTTCAGTTAATGTTAGATTAACCATTTAATATAAATACAAACAAGATAGCTTTTAAAGATGTCAAAAACTTTAGGAGGGCTCAGAGATTTGGCCTCTAGAGGTCGCGCTCGTAAACTATCGTCTGTTCAATCAGTTATCGGTACCGATATATCGGCAAAACCGATCAGTCGGTCGACCTCTAATATTTACAGTTGGATCGTCTCTCATAAAGTCTCTGGAAGACAGAGAGAAGAGGATGAAAGGTTAATGATTAATGACGTCAACCAAAAGAAAACCATTTAAGAAATGAAGCAAGCTGAAGACAATGACAAAAATGAACATTTATTTCCATTAGAACAGCGTGACTGATGAATCCCTCACAGTCAGATCAGGAATATGAATTAAGAGTCTATAAAAGGCATTGCTACTGTAGGTCAGGTTTGAGTTGTTCACTACAAGCGTTTCTCAATCGTAAAGCCATTAGAGAGCAGCAGCAGCCCTGCCTTCCCTCCGTTTTAATGGAAGCGCATCGGATTTCAAGCATCCTTCCTCATCAGCTCTATAAATAGAACGTGAAACAGAAGCAAACGCATCAGGAACATATAGTTCCCATCGGCCGCTCGTGACCCCGCACGCAAACAAAGCCCAGACGGGTTTAATGACTTCATACTCCACTGCTTTTGGAAATCAGAGAGTTTATGGATGGTTTGAGACACCACAGAAGGCACCGAGTCCAGCATCAGAAACTCAAAGGCGTTCGTTAGTGCAGACTAGTGAGGGTTACGGCATGGACTCATACTGAGCTGAGAGCCAGAAATGTCACGAGTGCAGAACTGAGTCGGTCTAAAGGACAGAAACGTACATACATCATGTTATCTGCGGTTAAAGTTCACATGCTTCTGCCATACTGAGGTCTGAAGTGACCTTATAAGAGCTGAACGCTTCGTTTAATCAAACACAAAACCAACATGGATTTTCCTGCACGCTTTCAAAAATATGATGTCTTGGCAAATCAGACTCAAAAACAGTTTAGCGGTTTGCGTTATGAACATGTAAAATAAAACGAAACATAAACCCAATCACATACTTTTATAGTTTTTATTCATATTTTGAATTAGTTTTTACTTTCTGATTTTGTATTTTAATTTTAAAGTTTTTGTAATTTTTGTCATTCTTAGTAGTTTTTTTTTTTATGTGTCTGTATAGCGTTTATTCATTTTTATTTCAGTTTTAGTTATTTCAGTACATCAAGTTAAAAAAAAGATTACCATTTTTTTTTTCTTAAAATTTAAGTAATTTTTTATGGTTTTAATTTTAATTTCAGTTAACTATAATAACCCTGATGCACCGAAATTTTGGTGACTGAAAATATTAATCCAAAACAGCATGATAGATAGAACGATAGATGGATGGATGGAACGATAGAACAATAGAGAGAGATAGAACAATGGAACAATAGAGAGAACATTAGATAGAACGACAGAACAATGGATAGATAGATAGATAGATAGATAGATAGATAGATAGATAGATAGATAGATAGATAGATAGATAGATAGATAGATAGAACGACAGAACAATGGATAGATGGATAGATAGATAGATAGATAGAACAATGGATAGATGGATAGAACAATAGATGGAGAGATAGAACAATGGAACAATAGAGAGAACATTAGATAGAACGACAGAACAATGGATAGATGGATGGATAGATAGATAGATAGAACAATGGATAGATGATAGATAGAACAATGATAGAACAATAGATAGATAGATAGAACAATAGATGGATAGATAGAACAATGGATAGATAAATAGAACGATAGATAGAAAGATAGATGTTTGTTTGTTCCAGTCATCAACTGAAACAGTGGCATTAAATTAGCGCATCTCTGACCAAAAATTATGCTTGAGTTGAAATGTATACACCTTTTTTTGGCTGAAATATTGACAGGCGAGTTCAACTGCTCAATTACCCAAATTTTATTACAAAACCTTTTTTTTTTATGTCTCTGCTTTTGACTAGATAAAAATTTAATTTAATTTTTGGTATTAAAATAATCATTTTGGTGCATTTATTTATATATATATACATACATACACTGAACAAACATCTTCGATTTCACGGTGACTCGAGGCTGAACTTGAGCGCAGTGTAAAGAACGAATGCTGGAGGTCTGGCGGTGATTGTGTGAACAGAACGGCTCCTAAAGGCTGCAGAGCACTCATGCGTGTCCTGATGTGATGTTGGCATGTTCTCTCAAGCGTCACACGCATCAGCACACGCGTGTTCTGTGTAAACGCTTTACTGCAGAGAGAAGAAATCTGCTCTAAATCACACAACACGATCCAGCAGATCAGGATCTGACTCCAGAGGGCTGATGGGAAACTTTCTGAGTCACTCATTGCACAGAGAAAAACATTCAAACTGAACACAGAACTAATTCTACACAAAACGCATGTTTGAGATCAGATCTGAATCT